GCGTACATATAAGAGAAAAGCAATTATTCAATGACTTCAAAATAATGGAACAAGTCCGATTAACTCGCAACAGGATTAATTTGTACAGCTGTTGTACAAACATCTAGTTGCCATTTCAGATTAGTTTGTAGCTTTATTGCAATAACTTTTCGAAAAAGAGCAAAAAATGGAGGCGGTTAGCAGGACAAACCGTGAGGTAGTAAATATTCTAACAGGATTCTTATCGTTCAGAGCTTAGACACTTTTCGTTTTGTAGAGAAATATTTCATCTACTTAATCATCTAGTTGCCATTTTAGATTAGTTTGTAGCTTTATTGCAATAACTTCTCGAAAAGAGCAAAAAATGGCGGCCGTTAGCTGGATAAGCCGCTCACTGAGGTCTATCGATCCATGTACAAATCACTCGAATCGGAAAGGGACATCGCAAAAGGTTCCCTCGTGAGTATATCTTTTTACAAATTAATCCTGTTGCGAGTTAATCGGACTTGTTCCATTATTTTGAAGTCATTGAATAATTGCTTTTCTCTTATATGTACAACTGTCTTTACCTACAACTGGAGCTTCGATCAGAGACCGCGTGTGACAGCATAGTAGCATTTGTTCCATTTGTAAGAATCGATTTGTGTCCGTCTTATCGAAATAATAGAGTTGAGATAAAATGCCTCTCCTCATCAAAAAAGAATTTGTTCATGTGAAAATGAAAGTTGAATGCTTAAAAATCGCTATTTAATTTGCAAGTCACGATTATTCTGATAAGATACAATCATGAGTATGCAAGAAGACCAACAACATTCATGTTTTGTGTTTGTGTCTATTAGCAGAACAAAAACTCGGTATCAAAGCTGACCGAGGCAAAAGGTTGATCTGACATCATAAACTAGACAAACGCAGATAGGTCAAATTTTTACACGGTTTTGACATTCAGTTTCATCCTAGGACTAATTGAAAACTCAGTAGAGCATCTTTTCATTTTTATTGGAACTATGTAACTATGAGGTTCTAGATATTAGGTTTCTCATATCGTTCAATTACGAAATAAACTTTACTTAAGAAGTTTATTATAAATACTAGACAACATTGTCCAGATATAGATTTTTTCTTTCGTTATAGCAAAAACACTGAAAAATTGTTTTTTTTTCTTTGTTGTCTCTTTCTCTTTCCCATTATCATGCAATGAACACAGTCCGATTTGATTACTGTTTCTTCTATAATAAAGTTTAAACCAAACACTGGAAAATAAGGTCATTGTTATGATCTGCCATTCCTGGCAGCTCATAAAACTATGTTCTCTTCTTCTTTTCCTTTCTTTCTGCTCTTACACTTGTGTCATCCTCTGGTTTTCCCAACTCTTTCTGTTCTTGTGCAACTCCTGCGCAACTCTTGCATAACTGTTGTTCAACTTGCGTACTATATATAGCCGTTCACTTTATGCAAATATATATGAGAAGTGAGTGAGTAGAACCTCACAATTCATTGTGATGGAAAAGACGGACCGGTCGGAAACTTCCATCTGTTTCTTGTATGTTCAAACTATATGTAAATTTTATATATAAATATAAATAGCTGTGTTTTTATCTGATTGATTATTCGGATTATTAGTTCGAGACAAATAAAGCGATAGAAATTATTCAAGTTTATAGTTTGGAGAATAACAGGTGTGATCAGCTGAAATATTCAGGATTTCTCTACAGCCTCCATTTGGCAAGAAAATATCAAATTTGGATACAGAATAATTATGCTTTCTATGGGGTGAACCTCTACATCATGGCAGTATATTTTTATTTATTCTACTCCTACCTAACGAGTTTGTGTGCAGGAGTTGTGCCCAACCACGCAATATACGTCATTATTGATGCGCAAAGATGTCCGAATGATTCTAAATTTCCACCTCGTCGAAACACTAGATTGTGCAATAACCCATAAAGAACATGACACATAGCAGATGACTCACCTTATGAATGCTTTTTCTTTCCTTTGACAAACAAATTGGAAACGAGGCGTAGGTAAAAAACCATTATATTATTGTGTATGATAAAAGTATATATGCAACTAGATAGCATGAATGGCAGAAAGCCAAAATCTTGTATCAAGATCGTGTAAGATCATGCGGAAGCTTGTAGCTTCTTGTCATATGATCTCACCAGATCAGCTCATAAGAAGTGACAAGATCATATAAGATATTGTAACACGAAATTGTGTGATATTGCGAAATTTTGTGAACGAGAATGTTGACGCATATTTACTTTTTATCACAAATCTTATATGATCTTGCAAGAGGTGATGACTTATTCTTAGCATTTGAGTTTTATTGCGATATCTGGTATCTATAGAACATCATTCGTATGGCAAAACTTTTTTGTTTAATTCGAGTTTTTGTTTAATTTCACACATTATCCATGATAGGTGTAGAATACAAAGTCTGTTAAATTTATTCTAAATGTTTTTATCTTATCTGATTTTCTGCTTTAGATTTATCTACAGATTTTCTGTCTTTTATTTTCTTTAAACTCACAGTTAAAAAGTCACAATGTCCGGACGAGGAAAAGGTTAGTATTTCTAAATGTTTGCATTGACAAAAATTTGATGTGATATCCTGTTTATTGTGTAACTTATAGGTTTTAAAGGTCTCGGCAAAGGTGGAGCAAAACGTCATCGAAAATTACTACGAAATAATATTAATTGTATTACAAAACCGGCTATTCGTCGTTTAGCTCGTCGGGGCGGAGTCAAACGTATATCGGGTTTAATCTACGAAGAAATTCGGGGTGTATTAAAAATATTTTTAGAAAATATTATTCGCGATGCTGTTACATATACCGAACATGCGAGACGGAAAACGGTTACGGCCATGGATGTTGTTTATGCATTAAAACGCCAGGGTAGAACAATATATGGTTTTGGTGGTTAAAGAATGATTAATATGTTATTTCAACTTAGAAAATGTTTTATTTGTTTTTCTTTTTCGAAGCTGGCGAATAGAAAAATTGAACACAAGACAACTATAGGTCTGTACAAATGTTAAGTTTGCCATTTATATGTACATAGTTGTCTTGTATCAGCTGTGTTATGTTCTTTTCCTTCACTGAAAATTTAGGATATATTTTTGTTTTATTGTTATAATAATTATTCTTGTGTTGTACAAAGAAGATTACGTTTCATTATTTCTTGCTCATAGATTGAATACTGTAAATAAAGAAATAAATCTATACTATTCAAAATGGAATGTGTTGAAGCAGACAAATGTTTGATATTTGCCAGAGAAGAGATAAAAGTTTGGATATGATTAATTTTGGCCGCTAAACTTGATTATAAGATCGAAAAAGCATATTTTTTTTAACGGGCTTTCCAGAACCACTTTCTGAAAATCTTAGAGTTTTGTAAAATCTCTTTCCAGATCTCCTATAAACAGGATTTAGAAGATCCTTAATACTCTGCATTCTGAAGTTTTGAGTTCGCTCGGATGTTTTTTGAGTGAATAGTGAATCTTTTTGAATATTAAGTGAAAACAGCCCCCAAACCCAAATTTTGCCAAAACCCCGTTTTTCGCTAGATTCTTAAAACTTTTTCTAAAAACAAATATTGTGAGGGTGATAAACCTATTGAAGTCTTTTTCTACAGTCAAAGTATCAAAATCAAGCGTCTATTGCGTTTGGAAGTGGTTCGGTCTGAGGTGGCCCACACTGCAGCAGTCAAAATTGGAGTAGTCCAGTAGTTCTTTTTGGATTGTGACCGAAAGTTCGCGATTCGGTGTGATTAAAGTTGTAGATATGTTATAAAGTTGGTTACGAAAGTTCACCACTCTTGTGACCAACGTGTGGGGGTGGTACTCCCCCAAAAATACCATACACTTTCGTCACGTATGACGAAATTCTTTTTTCTACATGACAAAAATGATACACCCGAAAAAACAGCTTTTTAGTTTCTTTAAGTTGTTATCTTCTTTCTTGTTCATTCAAGACTTTTTCTTATTCCAAGTCGCATAGAAGACAGTGTTCTCTTTACAATGAGACGTCTTCCAGAATTGTCCGATGAGTCTGCGTGGAGATATAAGCGTCGCCAAAATGCCGCGAAAAAAATGACTTGTCTACAAAGCCTTTATCGAAGAAGATGGAAGATATTTTTTTAATCTTCGAGTTTAAATTCAATCAGGTCATCTAGACATCTAGGGTAAGGTGAATTAGATTTAACTGAGCGAAGTTTTTCCATCCAGCATTGAAAAAATTATTAATAATCCCAAGTAAAAATTAAGTAAGCGAGAAAATCTAGCTTGCAGGTAGATTAATAAATACATTTATCTAGCTACATGCTGATTAACAATTGTGTTCTCGCTGAAGCGATCGGTAGACGTTAATTTACAGTGTACACTCTCTTAAAAGTTGTTGAACATCTGTGGAAGAGTAAGTAGGAGCAAAGTCTTGAAGAAAAATGGCACCAAAACTCAGATAAATGTCTATGTTGTTTAAATCGATACATAAGAGCAAAGTAGAAGTATTAAATCTTAGATAAAACAGGGTTTCCTAAAAAACCAACTCAATTTTTCAATATTTTTCAACATCGGAGGAAGTGTATGTTGAACTTTGTGTATGTTTCCTTAGAATAACATTTGTTTACTTCAATTGCAGCAGCGGGAAAACATATGCTGAAAACTCGACTAAAAATCTCCATTAACTGTGAAAGTTAATTATTATTATAACTTAATTTTATATTTCTACTGGA